TTACAGGGTGAATATCGTTGATGTGAAGGTTTCCTGCCTGCTTTCCAGGTGCCTGCTGAGCCCTGCTGTACGTGCAGGATAGTACATGTGGAAATAGTAATTGCAAGCCCATTATTATTATTATTATTGCCATAATTCATTATTAGTGTGTTTTTTTTATTTTATGGGGCCCACGTGTGCGGGTAATTCATGGCTGAGCACTTACGCCAYGGGAAGGTGGGGAGGCTCAGGGAGCTGCAGGAACTCAGTTCCCATTTTCAGCTCCAAATTTCCTCCCCAGGCTTGAGGCGAAGGGATTTGGGACAGCCTGAGGCAGCTCTGCTGTGCTGGAGAGCGTTTTGGGGTGACTCAGAGGGTTTTGGGGTGACTGGGAGGGTTGTGCTGTTCCTTTCCAGCATAGGGCAGGTGCTCCAGACCCTCTGTGTGCACCTGATCCTCCTCTTCCCCCGCCGTGGAGGGCTGTGAGTGAGTCAAACSCTTAAACTCGGCTCTGCCGGTGAGATAAGGCAGATGTGGGGGCAGATAAAGGTGTTTCAAAGAGGTCACTGGCTGAGCAGGAGCTTCACAACAAATAGGGTTGGCTTCATCTCCCACTGAGGTGGTTCCTGGTGCTGACTGTGCTGGAGAAGGGCTGGCAGGGCTGCAGGAATTGCCAGGTTTGGATGAGGGAGATCCAAACTGGGTTTGGGGAGAGCACTGGAGGCTCCAAATCGACGCTGATGATGGAGCACTGTGTGTGTCCCATCAGGAGCTCATCCCAAGGAGGGTTTGGGGGATTCTTTGGGGTCTGAGAGATGAAGGAGACAACTGAGATGATCCCTAAACCGGAGGGCTGCACTCAGTCCTGCCCAGCCAGCGGGATCCAACCATCAGCCCATGGAATGTGAGGGTCAATCCCAAGGGAACGGCAGCACCCGGAGCTGCTCAGGTGAACCTCCCMAATTTCCTGGCTCTCCACAGCTCTCCAAGATGTCTGCAGGATGTTTTCACGAGCCGAGCGTTTGCCAAAAGTTCACRGATCAGTTACAAAACAGATGTACCTTTATTTTTTTTCTTTCTTTCTTTCTTTTTTTTTTTTTTCCTCTCCCCTTCTTCCTACTGGTAAGGAAGAGTTTGTGCAGTAATTGCAGGCAGGTTGGGAGATGTTTTCTTCATAATTCTCCTTCTTATGAAATGTTTATGAAACACCTTCCACAAATCAGTTACGCAAGCAGGCTCCGGAGCTTTGATCATTTTCCATCACCCTCGATGTGTTTCTCAGTTTGTTTTGCTTTTTGTTGTCGTGTTTAGGCCCGAGCTGGGTAAGAACCCATCCATCCTCGCAGATGTTCGAGCCAGCTGCGGAAGGGACTCTCTTTCCACCCAGCCACCCTTGCCATGTTTTTCGCTCGGGGGCTGACCCTGTTTCTGTGAAAACATCCAAACATCCACTTGGGATTTGCAAGATCCCGCCGAGCTCCGGTGCCTCCAGCGCCGTTAGCGCTCCCAGCCCCGCCCCGGGCTCCCCTCTGGCCCTGGAGGAGGAAAGTGCCTGAAAATTCACAGCCAAGAGCCCCCAGAGCCACGAGGATTTGCAGCTCCTGCTCTTTTACCCGCTCGTTTTTCCATGGAATTGTTGGGGTTGGAAGGGAGTTTAAGGATAATCTCYTTCCAACCCATGGCCATGGGCAGGGAAACTTCCACCAGAGCAGGTTGCTCTCCTCAAATAATTTTATTTCTCCAAATAAAATTTGGTGGGAATGACTTCTCCTTCCCCTTTCCCCATCCACAATCTCTATTAATGACATTTTTTCTTTTTATTTTTTAAATAAATTTATTTTTTAAAATGTAGTGTCGAGGTTCGAAATGAACATGGAGATCATGGAATAAACCAGAAACAAGGATTCAGTTCTGATCCCCTGGGCGTGTTTTTCTCTAAGAATGCGGATTTAGAAATCATTATAAATCATTCATAAATCATTTATAAATCATTATAAAACTCATTATGGGTCCTGAGCAATCCCAGTGGGATCTGCTCCTGGTTTTACCCAAATCATTTTGAGTTGCTCACTTGCAGCGTTTCAGCAGATTTCCCATCAAATCCTCA